ATCCCACCGTGGCCGGGCATATTTTTCAAGCTCGCCCGGTGTGGATATACACTCAGAGCAACACCACAAATATCATATTCACCTGAGTACACTACACCAACACAAAAAAAAAATTCATATTACTAGAATACATTGGTATCGAAGGAACTAGATTCTGTTCCGAAATATCACTTACTCGAACCGTCCTGACCGCGTAGCTCAGTTGGAAGAGCATTGGGCTAGTATTCCAAAGGTCGTAGGTTCGAATCCCACCGTGGCCGGGCATATTTTTCAAGCTCGCCCGGTGTGGATATACACTCAGAGTAACACCACAAATATCATTATTAGTAATCGTTGATTACTACAGTCGCTTCTTTGAAGTGGTTATTATGAAGTCAACCACAACACAAAAAGTGATAGAAGTGTTAACACCGATTTTTGCGCGATACGGTTATCCATTTACTCTTAAGTCCGACAACGGAGCTCAATTCGTATCGGAGGAATTTGAGGATTTCCTAACTGAAAGTGGAATCCAACACCGTAAGTCTCCACCTCTTTGGCCTCAAGCCAATGGGGAAGTAGAGCGTGAGAACAGAACTCTATTAAAATCGCTGAAGGTAGCTCATGTGGAAAATAAGAAGTGGAAGGATGAACTTAACAAGTTCCTGTTGGCATATCGAACCACTCCTCACAGCACTACAGGAGTATCTCCTGCGTTCATGATGTTTGGAAGAGAACTCACGACTAAACTCCCCGAGTTACGTCCTGATAAAAACATTTTGAATGAAAGCATTAGAGATCGTGACTGGAATAAAGAGGTGGCAGGAAAAGAGTATGCTGACAAACATCGACAAGCCAACCAGAATCCAATTAACCCAGGTGAGAAGGTCCTTCTTAAAAATTCCAAAACATCTGGAAAACTGGATCCAAAGTTTGAAACCAAACCATACATTGTTCAAACTAAAGAAGGACAGGAACTAACTGTCAAGTCGGACGAAGGTGTAGTGTACAGGCGAAACAATTCATTTGTGAAACCCTAAACAGGAGTGCAAGAAACCATTACGGAGTCTGAAAGATCTGAAGATACAGCTGTCTCACCTACGAACGAAGGTAATCCTGTTGCAGTGCCGATAAGCAGACCATCCCGAGTGAGAAAATTACCAGACAAGTTCAAGGATTTTGTGTTGAACACTGTAAGATAACTTTAGATTTTTATATAGTATAAGTACATAACTGAACTTCGTGCGAGTATAAAACTTCATTAATTTCGAACAGTTGATAACATATAAAAGTACTTTAAAGTTCATATTTCGTATTTACAGATGGTAGGTTTTGTTTGTACAAAGGAAGGGAATGTAGTGTTTACTATATTGTTGTAACATGAAGTATATAAGAAAAGATTAGGAATCCAAGATGGCGTTTTAGTAAATATACGTGTTCAGTAAATTGTTTATGTTTAATCGAGTTCAATCTGTTGTTTTATCGGGATACATACTACAACGACTACAATAGAATACTGCCTTTAATATTAGTATTCTTTATATAAAGAATACTAATTAGGAGTGTTTTATCAGGTTTAAAGCTACTGCACGTGACATATTATAGTTGACATGATTTGCCAATAAGCTTATGAATTATTAATGAGTGTTTGAAGTTATATTCAAGTATTGAGAGCTGACTGCAATGTTTGCACCAGCTAGTACTGAACCCAAACCCATTTATGAAACAAATCATTTACTTAGCGGAAACTCGCTTGGCAATGCATATCAGTACAGGGTGTATAAAAAACATGTAGAAATTAAAATTGTTATGTAACTTGAATGTTATAACCACTACGTTGAACACAAGAGTGAACTATGTTGACTCCGAGTGAAGGTCCCTTTTGTCCAAAACCATGAGCAAAAAAGGGAAGAATAACTAAATTAAGAAGAGTATTTTAGCCCATGACCAAATCTTTGTCTATTAGGATGAAATATAAAAAATTGTGTCTACAAATGCCGAAAATCAAGCCTCATTCAGACATTTAAAAATACGAAATTTTTCCTCGTACACCACCTCCTATGTCCCTTTCTCTTGGTGGCCGCTCCACTGACAAATTCTTGAAAAACCAGTTTTATCTAAGTGCGAGCCTATTCGAAATTTTTCTTGGCAACTGAGCCACCTGGCACTGGGAAAACCAAATCCGAAAAATTGCAATATATACAATATTCTTTTCCATGCCTGGTGCCAGTTATTAATCCAGCGAATGTTGTATATGCTTTCTTTTCTCTGAGATTCAGTGTTCGTGATGCAAATGTTTTAATGTTTTAATAAGATTCGGCAACTACCTAAAAATACAACAATGTAATGCCAGGGAGTTCGCCACAGGTTATTTATTTATTTATTTGTAATGCTTTGCCAATTTCACACAATCATATCTGCACAAATACAAACACAAACTATCAATCAATCAATGGCAGGGTATATGCTACAGCTTTACGCCAATGGACCATTTGCATTATAGACTAAATTTTGATCTGGACAAAAATTTCATCACAGCTTGAAAGAGCATCACAAAATTAGTAATATTCCAAAGTTTCGTTGCGAAATGTTGTAAAATGCGGATAATATAGCCTTGCGAAGTTTGCAATTTTCAGTCATTTTGTATTACAAACGGGAAATTGATGCCCCAACACCATAGATATAAGATATCTATGCCCAACACTCAATTGGGCTGTCAATTTCCCGTGCGTAATACAAAATGACTGAAAATTGCAAATTTCGCATGTCTTACCGTTGTCCAATTTCCGACCTTTGCTGACTGAAAAACATGATGTTGGATGTTATGGAAAACGCAACGCTCGAGGACTTTGGAGATAAGGGAAAGCAACGAGATTGGACGGTAGTTCTCGACATAGGATTTCTCACCCCGTTTGTGTAATGGTACGACATTCGCTAATTTCCAATCATCAGGAAGAACACCACAACGTAAAGATTTGTTGAAGAGAGCGCAGATTGAAGGAGCGATTTGAGATGATGATTCCGTCTGGACCATTTCCATGAGCTTTATTGTTATTTAGATTAGTTAATACGGTTATTACTTCGTCGTTAGTCAGTGTTATATCTTCCAAAACAATTTCTGGATCCGAGTGTTCTCCTAGATTGTGGTCACTATTGTTGTCATGCGTAAAAATCGAGGCGAAATATTCGTTAAAAGTATTCGCAATGTCTACGTTGTTGTTGGAATACGTTCTTTGATTTTGATTTTCACTAGATTTAACCGAGATTTTAAAGGAATATTAGATACCTTAGACTTAATCTTGAAAAACGACCAGAAACGTTTAGCATTGGGTTCACGAGATGCACAGATTGAATTGATATAGTCCAAGCGACTTTCACGCAACATTCTTTTAATTCAGTAATTGTCCGACGGAGCTCTCAAAATCTGTGCTCGAGGTGTTCATTTGGATGACAGGGTCTTTTAATTCTCGTTCTTATGGACTTTTTCTTCTTGGTGTAGTGAAGTATTGTACTGTTCATCCAAGGGAGATGGTTTCGACCTCGTAGTGTTTTTGTCGGCACAAATTTCGATACCGCGCCCAAAAACGCATTTTTCCAGGCGAGCCTGCAATCCTGGTTGATATCGCCGTTCTCTGATATAAGTTGACTGAGGTCGAGGGATTGAAGATGCTTTCGTAGACCATGAATGTCAGCGCGTCGGTAATCAAACACTGAACGTTTTATCTTTGGGAAAGGATTGCATGAAAGGAAGAGGTCGAAAATAATGGCGTTGTGGCGTCAATATCTTGACTCGGTCGGGAACACTGGTGATGACAAGATCGAGAATGTTTTCGCCTCTGGTGGGAGTTGTGTTTAGTTGTTCCAAGAAAAAGTCATTTAATAATTTGATAAATGAGTTCTCATTAACGTCAATAGCATTTTCACGCGAGTTCCAACTCGCGCGCGGAAAATTGAAATCGCCAGCGATTACAATTTTTGAATGACGTGTGCAAACATCTTGGAGAAAAGTTTCAAATTTATCAATCCAAGTTTTATCAGCGTCTGGTCACAGAGTAGAGACATACAGAGACGTAACTAGTGTACCCACTTTTTTTGTGCGCATGCTCGGCAAGTTACTAGATGCATGCATCTGATTGGATGACGACCTGACGACGACTCACTTTAAACTTGCTGAGCGCGCGCAGTTGATCATTTTTCGCCCGGTCGCCTGAAAAAAAGTGGGTACACGTAATCTTCCGCAGTGTTTACGACGGTCAGTTACGTCTATGTATGTCTCTACTCTGTGGTCTGGTGGACGATAACACGAACAAACAAGACGCTCTATGGAGCGTTAACTCGCTGGGCTATACAAATACGCACATTACTGTATATGATACCAGGTACAGTACACAGCTATTTCGATTAAGATCTAAGCCTGGCCCCGAGCTAAGCGGAAAAGTCGAATACGAGCGCGAAAGCTTAACACACTAAAATGCGGTACCCTACAAATAAAACTTCCGGCGTTTATGTCCACAAGTAAAGTTATATTTTATAGTACGCTACATTCTTCTGTCGGCCGCCAGTTTAAAACGTCCAAACTAAAATATTTTGGGGCTTTTGGGCTCATTATCAAAATGAAGAGAGAAGTGAGACGAATCCACTGGTATGCGGCCGAAAAAGAGAAAACCAACGATACCAAAGTTATCAAGGATCAAACGTACTGCATTTTTTATAATTTGAGCGATTTGTCAACA